TTCTTTTTTTTTTTTTGGTACCGGGGATCGAACTCAGTAGCTTGCGCTTTAGAAGCAGGGAGTGAAACCACTGAGCTAAATCCCCGCCCTTCAGTTCTTTTGGATATATTTCCGGAAATGGAATTACCAGATCATATGGTAATTCTATGTTTAATTCTTCAGGGAACCACGATACTACCACATACTTTTTTTATACTGCTCAGATTTTGAATAGTGTTGAGGGAACGTTCCATCAGACATCTGAATGAATTGAAAGTGTAATCCTGTTTCCCCTTCCCTCACACTGGCAAACCCTAAAACCATGTAGTGTCTGATTCCATTCATATAAAATGTCTGGAGCAGGCAAAGCCTAGCGACAGGAAGTAGATGAGTTGTTTCCCTGGGGAGAGGGAGGAGGGAATGGGGAGTGACTGCTGACAGGTTTGGGGCTTCTTATTGGGGTGAGGTCTTGGAATTAAATACTGAGCATGATTTTGAATACACTAGCCAGGCATGGTAGGACACCCATGTAATCCCAGCTACATGGGAGGCTGAGGCAAGAGGATGGTAAATTCAAGCCTATCCTGGGCAGTTTAGCAACTTAGACCTGTTTCAAAATTGCAAGGGAGAGAGAGAGGTTGTAGCTCAGTGTGAAGGCCCTGGGTTCCATCCCCAATATCATAAAAAGAAATTAATTGATTGATTTTAAAAGGGCTAGGGATGTAGCTAAGTAGTAGAGTACTTACGTAGCCTCCACAAGACTTCAGGTTTAATCCTCAGTACTGGGGGAAAAAAAAACACTGTGACTATACTAAAGTTGACTGAATTGTACACTTAAGGATGGCGAAACCAGGCATGGTGGTGCACACCTGTAATTCCAGCATCAAGGAGGTTGAAGCAGGAGGATTGCCATGAGTTTGAGGCCAGCCTAGGCTACATAGTGAGTTCAAGGCCAGCCTGAACTATAGAGCAACACCCTGTCTCAAAAAAATAAGAAAAAGGGCCAGGGATTTAGCTCAGTGGTGCTGCACCTGCCTCACAACTGCAAGGTCATGAGTTGGATCCCCAGTACTGAAAAAAAAAAAAAAGGATGGTGATGCTTGTGTTATGTGAATTATGTCTCAATAATAATTTGTTAGGGGAGCTAGAGGTGCAACTCTGGTAGAACATTTGCCTAGCATGTGCAAGGGACTGCAAAATAATAATTGTTAGCAGGCTAATAATACCAAAACCAAACAATGAAGAAAGCCTGTGAGAGAGCTGCCCGGGGCAGGACCCCAGGAGGGGAAGAGAGACTTCCCAGAGCCCAGCAGGTCCCTGCACAGGACAGGCAGAGGGTACCAGGGAGAGGTTGGCAGTACCTGGCCCTACCCACTGCCCATGTGCCCTCCTGCTGCCCACAGGAGAGCCGCCTGGCCCAGCACACCATCCAGGCCCTGCAGGGCGAGCTGGACAGCCTGCGAGCAGACAACATCAAGCTCTTTGAGAAGATCAAGTTCCTGCAGAGCTACCCTAGCCGGGTGAGCACCACCCCAGGTTCCCCAGGCACAGGTGGGAGGGGCGGGCAGTGCCCCAGAGGTCGCAGGGTCAGAGGCAGGTCTGCTGGGCAGCACTGGGTCTGGGGTCCCCCTTCCCTGCTTCTGCTTCTCAGAGTGGAGCCCCATAGAGATCTGTTCACCAGAGTCCTCCAGGAGGTGGCAAGGTGCCGCAAGAGGCAGGGGCCACACCGAAGGCCACCAGCCGGAGCAGCAGGTCCCAGATCTTGGGACTCTGACCCATGCTGTCCCTGGCCTCAGCCCCAAACATTCCCCGGGACCAGCAGGTGCATGGAAACCGTTCTGTGACTGAGGGGAGACTGTGTGGGTGGTAAAGAGGGAGCTGAGACTCTCAAGGTCCAAGCCTCCAGGGAACACAGCCCTTAGCCACCAGTCGGGCATCCCACCATTGGAGCCGGAACGCTGTGGGCCACCAGAGGGCGCCCAGTCTCCACAAACTAGTGCTGCTCTGGTTAGTTTGGTGAAGGTCTCTCCCAGGTGCCTGCCCCCCGCCCCATTCTGGCTACACAGGAGGCTGAGGCAGGAGAATCATTTGTGTCCAGGAGTTCCAGGCCAGCCTGGGCAACATAGTGAGATTCCCAGCTCAAAAACAAAAACAAAAACAGACCCCACCTCAGCTGTCTTGTACCTTCCAGCCCATCTGTGCCTTAGTTTCCCAGATGTGCCCAGAGGTGAGGTGACTGTGACCTGGGGAAAGAACTCTGGCCCCAGGCCTTTCCCCTGTGACACCAGCCACTACCCACTTCCCGTCCTCTCCACTGCCTTTGCGTTGCAGATGAGGAAACTCTCCCCTGTGATTCTGTCACCTGCCTTCCCTTGAGTGGTGGCCGTTGCTCCTTGGGCAGCTGAGTCTCTCCTCTCTCCTCCTCCTCCCCCTGCACAGGGCAGCAGCAGTGACGACACCGAGCAGCGGTACTCGTCCCAGTATGAGGAGCGCCTGGACCCCTTCTCCTCCTTCAGCAAGCGGGTTTGTGACCCCCAGGGCCCTCTGGGCTCAGAGCTGTCTGGACTCTGGGGAGGCCCCGGCCCTAGCACCCCACCTGCCCACTTCCAATTCACCCGTGTGGTGGGCAGGTGGACAGGGCAGACTGATGGTGCCCTAAAGATGTACTGGTGCCGTGGAATCCCTGGGCCTGCCCAGGATCACCAGTGTCGGTGTTGAGCTGAGGGCACAGCAGGGATCAGGTGGCCCCGGGCTGCACCGTGGGGATGAGCAGACAAGCACAGGGGTCCCCGAGCCGAGTGTCAGGTGACCAGCAGTGAAGAACTTTCCCACAGGTGAGACAGCCAACAGATGGGGTGGGGAGCCCTGAGTGTCACACTGGGTGGGCCCTGGCCTCTGCAGTCTCTGCACGGGGCCCTTTGGGGTCCTTTCTTCATTGTCCCCTTCCCTGCAGGAGCGGCAGAGGAAGTACCTGAGCCTGAGCCCATGGGACAAGGCCACACTCAGCATGGTGAGTCCCTGCCCCTGTCCCCACCCAGGGCAGGCCTGAGCTTCCTTCTCTGGGAAGGACCTGTCCTGGCCACCTGCCCTCCAGCCCTTTCTGGAGAAGCCCCAGAGACCACTCAGCACCTTCCCACACCCTGCCAAGAGTGACTGGAACAAGGTCCCTCCCCTCCCCTCTCCTCCCCTCCCCTCCCAACAGCCTCTGGTCCAGTCCTTCGCTGCAGGCTCTGGGATAGGCCTGCAGGGGGCCCCCTTCCCCAGCCATTTTACAGCCAGAGTGCCCCGCCTGGCACAGGGTTGTGTGGGTGTGTCAGCTGCCCCCACCACCCCTCCTTAGACCTTGGGCCCTGCCCCAGTCCACCCACCCTTGTTTGCTCCCAGGGGCGTCTGGTTCTCTCCAACAAGATGGCACGCACCATCAGCTTCTTCTACACACTCTTCCTTCACTGCCTGGTGTTCCTGGTGAGTGGACACCCAGGGGTGTCACCCAGCTCCCCACCCCACCCAGCAATTTCCTCAGCCTGGGCCACAGCTCCCCCTTGCAAGGGCTTTGACCTGCCCTGGGGACAAGGAAGTTCCCCTTGGCTGGGCACAGCCCAGCCATTCTGGTGAAGAGGTTGCTTTCCCCGGGTGCACGGGTAGAGGCCAAGCAGAGGCCTGGTGATGCCTTTGGGTCCGCCATGCTGGGGGCAGTGGCTCCGGCCCTGGGCAGGCAGCTCACAGTGTCCCTGCCATGCCAGGTGCTCTACAAGCTGGCATGGAGCGAGAGCGTGGAGAGGGACTGCACTGCCACCTGCGCCAAGAAGTGAGGACCCCCAGCCCTGCAGCCCCAAGCCAACCCCCCAATATGATCCCTGCTCCTCCACTTTCATGCTGGTGCACCTCAGCCCCAACTTGTTGCGGGGTACACCCCCTACCCTCTCTCCCGCCCCCGCCAATGTCCCCCTTCTTTATACTTGGTCTCAGCAACAGTTTCTGTGCCCCCAGGTTCGCTGATCACCTGCACAAGTTCCATGAGAATGACAACGGGGCAGCGGCTGGTGACCTGTGGCAGTGACCCCAGGTCCTCCCCGAGACAGTTATGGCTGCATTCATTCCCCACCCCTGCTTGAGCAATTGCTTCTAGTGACCTAGGCTTTCCCAGAACCCCTCCCCCATATGGAAACTGTCCTTGTCCTCAGCCCAACAGCTGCCAGAGGTCCTAGGTCCCTTGGAAGAGTGTCACTACCACATCACTCCCCAGGTCCAGACAGCCGCCAGGGCCCAGCCAGGCTGAGCCATCACCCATCTCAGCCTGATGACCTGGCTGGGCTCCACCCACAGCCAGACCTCTAGCCCTGATGGCAGAGAGCCCTGACTGTAACACCATCGGTCACCACTGATCCTGGCAGCACTGTGGCTTTGGGTGCCCCCCATACCCCAAAAGCAGTAGGAGACCCTTCCTTTCAGGCCAGTGCACTTTGCATCCAGCTCCTCCTACCTTCCTTGGTCACCAGTCCCACCCCGAGAACTTGCGTTAGGCAAGACCGAGTCTGCTCACCACCACCACGGGGGAGCCCGTGGGACAGTTTCTCAAACCCCTCCTGTCCCTGTCACGTCATTTCTGCCTTCTTCTTTAGCGAGGTCTTCTGGTTTCTAGATGAAGAAGCATCTCAATCCCGGGGCCCCTGGTCTCAAGGACAGGCCCAAAGGCTCAGCAGAACGGGCTTTGGGCTCTCCTGGCATGGGTGCCTCTCTGGGGCCAGGCAGGTCTCCCTAACTTAGGTTTGCACTTGCACATTCAGCTTTGCACACTTGGAATAAAGAAACCACAGTTGCAGCCACACGGCCGTCCCATGCTCTGTGACCCCTGAGCTCTGGGACACTGGGGGTCTGGAGGCCTGGGAACCAGGTTGGCCCTGGCACACAGGACATCTCTCCATTTGTTGTCCCCAAGATATCCAAGAGCGGGTCCAGAGCTCATCTAAAAACCAAGCCCAAGCTGCCTGAGCTCTCAAGCAGACATGCAGCCCCATCAAAAAGGGAAACCTGTTCCTTTCTTCAAATGTCATAAATGTCATCTGACTGCCTGTGGCTGGGGTCATGACGTGTCTTCACAGGTCCACATCAGTTCCTGGGGAATCCCTGCTTCCTTTCTGTGTCCCGCAGAGCTGTCTGTATCCTGCCCCTTTCCCAAGCGCATGTCCACCAAGGCCCCAGTGGTACCCTTGCATGGGGACTCCATGGACCACTGGTTCTGGGCTGCCTCAACCCAGCCCAGTCCATCCTTTTCAGCTGTGGCTAGCATCCCCCATCTGGGTGGCCCATGAGGCTGGCTGCAAACCTGCTTGGCCCTGTAGTCCACCAGGCCAGAGTCCCCTGCACCATCTCTATCTCGGGTTTCATCCTGAACTCTGGAGCTGGGGCATCCAGAGGTCCCTCTTTGGGGGGGTCCTACCACCAGGACCCCTCATCTGCCCCCTCAGAACTTCCTCCTGCCCTTAGGGACCCAGGATAGACCTGTCCTCCCTAACCTCAACTCCTGTCCCCGATGACAGCTGCTCTTGGCCAATCACAGCCCCTTGCCACCCCCTTTCCACATCTCCCATCAGTTCCTCCTTGTGGGCCCGAGTCACTGGGTAGACAGCCCCTCCTCACTTCCTCCTCCCGGGGAATCAGAGCTATTGTCTTGCCTGGCTTCCCCATCCCAGGACCCTCTCCAGCCACAAACAGCCCACCAGCAAGCTCGGGGCATATCTTGGAAGGTCAGTCCACTGCCTGCCCCTCTCCCAGGAGGGTGGGGTCAATGGCCAGGCAGGGTGAGGGAGTCTCTCTCTCTCTCTCTCTCTCTCTGCTGGCACTCAGTCCTCCACCCCACCGCTCCCTGCCCAGCCTCATTCATAGGTGTCCTGCTTCCCAGGCAGGCATCCAGCCTGTGTGCTGCTGGAATCGATGGCTGGACCATCGCCTAAGCTTTCATTAAGTGTTTGCCGGCCAGGTCCTGTGAGGGGGCAGCTGGTACCAGGGCCTTAGCCAAGGACTGGCTGGCTTCAGTACCCTCTTGGAGGGCAGTGCCAGGGTGGTGGAGGGCAGCAGGTGAGGGGTCCACTGTCACCAGCCCACAGCTCCCCTCCAGGGGCTGCCCTTTCCATCCCTAAGGAAAGAACTAAACCCCTGCCTGCCCCGCTTCCTGGAAAGTCAGAGATGTGAAATGGCTCCGGGAGAGGCTAAAAGGCTCTGGAAAAGGTCAAGGCAGGTCAGGCAGGTCCGGAGGGCAGCAGATGGAGTCACTCTCCCCCAAGAGGAAGCCACCAGCAGATCACAAAGCTACGGCCAGCTGGCCTGAGGCCCCTGGGGACTGAGGGCCTGGAGCAGGGGGCAAGAAGGGACAGGAGGGGAGAAGGTACCCAGAGAATGCTCTCAGCTCTCCCACCCCTTCTTCCCTGCACCGGTTCAGGGCCTGCTGGAGGGCGCAGCGCACCCGGGGTCAGTCCACGAGCGCCTGCGAAGGCTTGCAGGGCTGATTCCTCAGCCCGCTTCTCTCTGCCTTAACAGCGATTTCTGAAGCCAGACAGGGTGAGGAATCAGAGGTGTGGTCCCCCGTGAGCACACAAGACCTCTAACACCTCTCCTAAGAGGCGCCAGTCTCCCCGCCACGCAGAAATTGTGGTGTGGGGATCGTGCTCGGGAGGCCCCCACCCTGGGGCTAGCCCTGGGAGGGCTGGAGGGAGGGGGCGTGGTGCTCGCCCTCGGGATTTATGAGAACCAGACCCAGACTTCCTCCGTTGCGACATCTGGGCCTCCTTGAAGCTCCAATTGTCCTCGCGGCGGAGGGCCCCGCCACAGCGTCCGCCCCAGCCTGGCTTCAGTCACCGCGGGGCCAGATCCGCGCCGCCACGCGGGACACCCACCCAGCCCCACGCTCGGCCTCCAGGAGACTCCTCCACTCGTGCGGGCTGACTGTGGGCTGACTTTGGAGGGGGCAGGCTTCGCGACACGGAGCCCCCGGCTCCTAACGGAGCGACTCTGGGCCGGTTCAGAACCCCTGCGGCCCCAGAGCCCGACGCTCTCTGGCCCTGCCACGACCAGCCGGCCTCGCGCGCGCCGCTCCGACTCCACGGAAGCCTGGGGGTGCGGCGGGGGTGGGGCCGGCGCGGCTCGAGGCGGGCGGGGGTGGGGCCTTGGCTGGGGGCGGGGCGCGGTGAGGGCGGGGCCAGGAGGCGAGCATCGCGCGGGCGGGGGGCGCGAGGGGAGCGGGGGGCGCGCGCGGCGCTGAGCTAGGCTCAGAGCGCGCCGGGCTCGGCAGCCTGGAGAGCCGTGCGGGCGCCGCGCCGGGAAGGCGGGGAGCGCACGAGCCTCGGAGGCTGCGGACCTGGGAGGGAGGAGCCGCCGCCGCCTGCTGCCGCCCGCCGGGAGGGAGCCCAGCCTGCTCCAACCATGAGTCCCCCGGCCCTGCGAGCCCGGCCGCGGTCCGAGCAGCGCTCCGCCGGCGCCCTGGCCCGCGCTGCCGCAGCTGCGCGTCTGTAGGTAAGGACTCCCGGTCCCCGGCCCCCGGGCCCTCACCCCCGGACCCCAGCGTCCCCGGGGCTGTGCCCGTGTGCGCGCCGCTGCCCCGGGGAGCGCTGCCGCACGCGCCCCGGTCCGAGCGTGTCGCCTTTGTGTGCGCGGGTGGGAGGAGGAGGAGGACGCGCGAAGGAAGGGATGCGCCCCCGCTGGGATCGGGTGGCGACCCCCATCCGGGGCCGGGCGGTGAGTGGCGGGAGGGGCCGAGCCGCCTCCGGAGCAGCTGCGTCCCCGCCCCCTGCTACGACCCGGGCCGAGCAGTGAGTCCCGCTCGAGCGCCGCTGTCCCCCTGAAGGGGGGGGGGGTCCTCTGGCGGGGGGGGGCGCTCAGGTCTCTTCTCCAGGCCGCAGGGGGGGTGAGGGGGGGTCATCGGCTGCGGTCGGGAAGGACCCCATCCAGGCCCCAGTCTCCCGGCCGGCACGCCCTCCATTGGGCCTAGGACCCCTTTCCCACGGTCCCCATCCCGACCTGCCCACTCTGGAGCGGCAGGGCAGGCCTCGTTAGTGGGGCGCATCGCCTGGAGTGTCCGAGAGGCTGGCGCCTTTAAGAAGGGGCGGGTTCGTGCCCTCCATTCAGGCCCTCCGGCCTCGGCCATTGAGGAACCTGCGGGCTTCGCGGGCCAGAACCGCGCCAGCGCCAGCGCAGCGGCAGAGGCTGGGCAGAGGCGGGACGCATCAGGACCCCCAGCAGCCCTAAAAGTGGGATCCTTAGGAGAAGTTAGCAGTGACCAGGGCCTCTCCTCAGCCACGCAGGGCAGACTGGGCAGCCTCAGGAGTGCCCGTGAAGATGAATAAGCCGCATTCTACGTTGGCCCGGAGGTGGTGCCAGGGAGAGCAGCAGGGTGGGCCAGCCGACCTGGAGTGAACTCTACCTCCAACCAGCATTATCCACCCTGCAAAGTGGGGGTGGTGCTTCCTGCCTCCTGCCGGGTGACCAGTGGGAGTTGTCCCCTTCCAACTCCCGAGCAGACCTCCAGGCTGAGCCCCTCATCTAGGAGGGCAGGAGGCCAAGGGGCCAGGTTTCCCCAGGAGGCTATTAGAAGCGATCTGAAGCCTCCCTACTCTTGAACAAATCTCTTCCGTCCTGGCCTCCCTGCCCCATCCAGGAAGCCACTGGTTGGGGATGCGACTGAGAACTTTTCAGCTCCAGTAACTTTGGGAAGGGTCCTGCAGCAATGAGGATGAGGGTTAGGATGAGGGTCCTGGGGCAGAGTTTGACACCACCTGCTTCCTTTTCTTCTCCTTAGAGGTGTCTCCCCAACCACCAGGAACCCCACTCTCCACCCCCTGGGGGCCGAGCAGCTGATTGGTTCTTGGTAATGGAGGGTGTGTGTACATGCTTTTCTTACCTCATTGTGAAAAGTCTGTCTAAAGTGTCCGGTCCCTCTTCCCTACCTGTACTCCAGGTCTCCCAGGTAGGACCCAGGAGCACACACTTAGGGGTCAGATTGCCTTGGGGTGCTGGAGGTGGGGCATCCACCCAGGTGGGGCTCAGGCCACCCAGGGCTCTGCTTCGGTTTCGAGCTGACTTGTGCCAGGCTAAGGGCACAAGTGCCATTTCTCGCATAATCATCGCAGTCACCCTGTGGTTTGGACCTGCTTTCATCCTCATCTTACAGAGCAGGAATCAGATTGAGGGGAGATGAAATGACCTGCTCAAAGTCAGCCCACAGGCGAGGTCTTCAGAAAGCCCCTTTTCTGATAAGAGCCCAGATCCACTCCTGACTTCTTGCATGGCCTGCAACCTACAGTGCAAGGATTGGGGAATTCAGGGCTGTGGGCCTCCTGGATGCAGGCCCCATGGGGTTCTGGTCACCCCAGAACCAGTGGAGCCCCCTCCCAGCCCGATTCTACTCTCCAAGTGGGGCCACAGGACAGTCGGAGCTCATGGGCCTAGGGAGGTTTCTCTGCCCCTTACCTGCTTGAGGCTGTTTTTACAGCTGCTCTATCCCAGGGGACAGCAGGTGTGACCTCAATACAAGGTCACAGCCCACACTGTTTGGGCAGAGCTAGGCAGGGCACGCTGTGTGGGAGTGTGGCATTATTTGCCTCTTCTGAGTGAAACAGGGTTTGTGTTCCATTCTCAGTGACTTCTGACCCTCTGAGGACAGGACCAACCTGGGCGTCCACGGTCTGGTGGAGGAGATGGGCCTCAAGCCAGGTGGCACTGCAGAGGGGAAAGGGTGGAGGCAGGACAGGCCAAAGGGTGTTACTGGACCTCTAAGCTGGGTACGTGCCAGCCACTGGGGGAAGAGTGCACATAGGCGGGTTGCTGAAGAGTGCAGGGAACCTTAATTAGCACCTGCAGCTAGTGAAGCTCTGGGGTGACCAGAAGTGAGGGAGCACAGAGGCCTCAGGCATCACTGGTACGTGTCATGAAAAAGCCAGAAGCCAGACTGGCGCGCTGAGTGACGGGGACTAAGAAGAGTATTGTGCAGGTCTAGGGGTTGGGATAGGGCCCAAGGAAGGCCCATGACACTTGGGAGAGAGGGAGAGGCTTCAAGGGTCAAGCCAGCACCAGAGAGGGGCCCCCTCTGCTCTGCAACCCCAGGAGGGCAGGGTAGAGAGGACAGAGCAGGACAAGTGCAGCTGGAGCCAGTGGAGCCTGCTGTCCAGCACCAGGGCCCACTGAGGAACTGTCCAGCACGGGGTGCTCCTGAAGGAACATGGGCCACCTACCTTTTGAGACCCCAGGCCCTGGCTTAGCTTGTCCTGATCTCCCACTCCTACTCCTCTGGCCCCCCACTTCCTGCAGGTTCCAGCTGTGGGTTCCCTTGCCCCTTCGCATCTCAGAGTGCCCCCTCTCTTCCTCCAAAGCAAGACTGAAGTCCCCTACTGTGCACCAAGGGGTCTCCCCAGGAACAGGTCCCTGCTGGGTGTAGTGTGGGGTCTGCTCTACTCTTGCCCATTCTGTGGGCCTGGACTCTCCTGATGTGCAGTGGGAGCCTGTAGAGTCCAGCACACGAGGGGCTGATTGCCTCCCTCCCCAGAACCCTGCTTCTCCGTGCATACAGTGGGAGAACTCCTTTCCTGGAGGGAAGGTATGAGGAGAGAAAGGTTTTAAACAGAGGCATGGTCCAAGCAGAAGGTGTCCTGGAAGTGGACCTTTTCACACTAGGGGGACTGGATTTCTGGGCAGGGGACAGCAGGAAACAGGGTGGTCAGGGAGGGCAAGGGGCAGCTGTCTGCCCTGAGCTGTAGGA